AGAGAGAGAGAGAGAGAGAGAGAGAGAGAGAGAGAGAGAGAGAGAGAGAGAGAGAGAGAGAGAGAGAGAGAGAGAGAGAGAGAGAGGAGCCGTTCTGCTGGGGAGCCGCCTGCATACAATGTTGATCTCCAGACCATAAGAGAAAATATGTAAGCTAGACTTACAGCGTCTGGAAAACAGGGCTGAGCAGAGGTAAATCCTTCCGACTACATGAAGCAATCAATGCCGCTGTCTCAGGATCTCTTGGTCATAATGGAGCCTGGCGTTGAGTATGCGTATGTATGCGAGGAACGCTGAACCCGGTTCTCAGCAAGATGATGTAATAGAGGTGGATCTGGTGATTAAGGATGGGAGCGGGGTCAGTTCGGAAAGAAAATGGAAGTTGGAATGTTCTCTGCCAAGGGCTGTTGCATAGGCTTAGGAAGCAGGACATTGGGTGCAAGGCTTGTGTGGTTCATTGGTTGGAATAATGAGAATATGATTGTGCTTAACCTTTATGCCTATGTCTCCAACCTTTGTTTTTTTGTTGCGCAGGAAACTTTCTGGAAACAAATTTCAGGGTGCACTTCCTTCCTCGCTTTCTCAACTTGTCAATTTAACGGAGATGTAAGTTCCCTCTACATTCTTGACCTGCCGCTCTTTTGAACTGTTTCCACAATAGTGCATTTTTCTACTCATGGTCTACTGGCACCAGAGCAATATTCAGGTCTGATTTGTCCATGGGCCCTTACGTACACTGGAGACCATGGCTTCATTCATTTGTAATAGCCTGCGAAGTTCAAGGCTCTGATCCTGTGCTTTTCTGAAGTTCTGCCGTTGTTCTGTGTCTGCTGTGACTACTGCTGTGCTGTCCGAGTCTGTTCCTGATGTGGTGATTGTTGATATCTTTGTTCCGTGAATCTGCCCGTTTGTCGGAGTACTTGAGTCCATCTGTCCATCTGGCGCCTGGTACTAACCCCTGTTGCCTTGTTGTTGGCCTGTGCAGCGAGTACAGGGCTACTAGACTACGGTAGGTCAGGGGTAGGTAAGCCCAAAGCGGCCAAAATCAAGCAGTACCATGTAGGCAGGCAGGAAAGAACAAAGGTAGGACTTTTGGTAGGCCGTTGTATTCTCCTGAGTTTCGGTAGGCCTGGGTGAGAAGTTACGAAGATACCGGTCTGAAAGCAGTCCGATAAGAGTCTTGATCCAGGTCCTGTAGGTAGGATATCAGCCTGCAATGACGGGTGGGCCCTAGAGGCAGGGTAGGCTGGGAGGTCATTGGGTATATCTCGAGGAGCAGTGAGTTGCGCCTCTTTCCTCACTGCCCTAAGGCAATGCTTCTGGTCTGGGAGCTTGGCAAGCAAATGCCAAGCAACGACACAGCTAGAAAGCTGCTGCTTACCCTGGTTATGGTGTTTGAGCCAGTGTGAGGTCTGTACGCTGTCTGATATGTCGGTTAACTGGGGCAGTAAGACAGTGGGGTGGTGGATGCATCGTGATGGTGGCAGGCCCCCAGAATGACCCGGGGTCACTTGTCTTCCTCTGGAGGCCCCGATTCGTGTCCTGGGGATCCAGCTGTTGGCTGCAGGAAAACCCGTGAGTAATGACAAATGGCTAATGGACCCTGCACAACTTTTTGGCAGGGCTCTGGTTGTCAACAACGTGGCGCTGGTGTCCCTTTGATACAAGTCTGCAGTTTGGCCTCTGTCCCGTGAAGCCTCCAGATCCCTAAGACAGCAGGTGGCGGCCTTTTTGTGGCGAGGCAACCAGGAAACCCAGCACGTGATTAGCAGGGTCGCAGAGGAGGCAATAGTCCAGCCCAAAGCCCAAGGCGGGATGGGGATCCTTGACCCTGACACCCAAGCATTGGGCTTGGCCCTACGGAGGCTGAAAAGACTAATCTGCACACCCTCACGTTTTTTGGACAGTCCCTAGGCCCTCCTTGCGGCCCGCTGGGCAGTCAGACTGTGCAGCGGCCCACGCAGACTTGGAAAAAAAATAACTTTTGGGTCCGATTGATCAAAGACTGGCGGCGGCTCCCTCTTCCAGATAGACGGCCGCCTAAGGTGGGAGACGGTTCTCCGCCAACCCTTATTCGGCAATCGCTGGATAACGGATTGACAGGGGAGAGTCTTCTCAAGCTCAGGGGGACCATGGGACTCTTGGATCAGGAAGGTTGTCCACAAGGTGGAACACGTATGGGACTCTTGGATCAGGCAGATTTGGCGGCATGGCCCAACGATTTTGGAGGGGGATTGGGTGGCAATAGAAGGAGATGATGCCCGCATCGGTCAGGTGCTGATGGCCAGCCAGAGAGAGGTACTGGTAAACCGGTTCTATAAAAACTGCCAAAATCGGCTGGTGCGGGGGCCACCGGACAAGGTCTTTTGTCTTCCTAAGACAGCAATCTACAGGGTGAGGGTGCTGAAGGAGGGGGACTCCTGGGTAGCCTTTAGACCCGAGCTGTCCATTCAGAAACTCCCTATTGACCCGGGGGAGCGGAGGTGGCGGATCCCTTTGCGAGATTCACAACCTAGGTACCAATACCTACACAACCTCAGGGTTAAGGCCACTTACAGACTTCTAAGGTCCCGGATCAATCTGAAGTATGAGATAGTGGATCGATGGGCAAGGCATCTGGACATTCCACTAGAGGTGCTCAGACCAATTGAATGGTTTAAGGAGGAGTGTAAACCTGCCGAATTGGCCTCGCTGCAATGGCAAATAGTTCGTTGTTACCACACTAATGTTACATGCTGCGGCTGCACACAGGCCCCATTTGCAGGGCCCGACGGTTGCTGAGGGGCCCAGACCAAGTAGGCCGTTTTGAGGCCAGTATCTGAGGATGCCCAGCAGGCCCAGCGCTACTTATAGCTGGGCTGAGGCTGGGCTGGGGACAGTTCGGGTAGCTCACTTCTTGAGCGACACGCTGCTGGTTGGAGGCTCCGCTGTAAGACTGGGAAGGAGAGGCATAGGAGGTAGAGAGAGGCTGAGGCCATACCTGTAGTGGCGAATTTACCTGGCGCCATAGCTGGAACTCCGCCCGGTACCTACACAGGACGACCACGACAGTCAGTACGGCGGCTGTTACCTGCAGGTGAGACAGCGAGGAGGGCGACATCTTCTTCTTCTTTCTCGCCCTCCATCTCGTCTCCCTCTCTCCTCCTTCTTCCTCCTTCCTCCTTCTCCTTCATCTTCTTGTTCAGATAGAGTGAGAGAGGTTACAGGCAGAGGATACAGGCAGAGGTTACCGTGGGCAGAGCGCCCAGGATCTGATCCGACATTTCTGAGGCAGACATTGATTGGACATCGGCAAGGGACAATATTTGGACTTTGCTATAGCGATCTTGGTCTTCTCCCTCGCCCCCATCTTCGTCTCTCCTCTCCCCTCATCTCTCATCTGTGGTATCTCCCCATGTGCGTGTGCAAAGAAGGGACCTTTCTTCTATGTGTGTGGTCCCTCCTCCTCTCTCACATGCGTGACGAGTGATGGGGTGTCGCCTCAGTCCCGGTCAGGTCAAGACTTATCTGAAAGTCCTCCACTGCGCTATTTTGTGCCGTTTTGTATGTATCAGGGTGTACATTGCCTGTTGATGTTTCACTAACATTGCATTGTCCATTTCGTCCTTTTCATCACATTGTGGATCCTTGGCTGTGCATACATTGCCCAACTTGGCATGTATCAGTTGGTATCGGAGTCCGCACGTGAATCAGGACAACCAGATCTGACACGTGGGCGGGGACCGATGGACCGATGGATGGATGGATGGACCGATGGATGCACCGATGGATGGACCGATGGATGCACCGATGGATGGATCGATGGATGGATGGACCAACGGATGGACCGATGGATGGATGGACCAACGGATGGACCAACGGATGGACCGATGGATGGACCGATGGATGGATAGACCGATGGATGGATGGACCGATGGATGGACCGATGGATGGACCGATGGATGGAGCGATGGATGGATGGACCGATGGATGGATGGATGGACCGATGGACCGATGGACGGATGGATGGATGGATGGACGGACAGATGGATGGACAGATGGATGGACGGACGGATGGATGGACGGACGGATGGATGGACGGACGGACGGACGGACAAACGGACGGACGGACGGATGGACGGATGGGCGGATGGACGGATGGACGGACGGACAGAGGGACGGACGGACGGACGGATGGACGGACGGACGGACGGACGGACGGATGGATGGATGGACGGACGGACGGATGGACGGATGGATGGATGGATGGATGAATGGACGGATGGACGGATGGACGGATGGATGGATGGAGGGACGGATGGATGGATGGAGGGACAGATGGATGGAGGGAGGGACGGATGGATGGAACGAGGGACGGATGAATGGACGGATGGATGGATGGACCGGATGGATGGATGGAGGGACGGATGGAGGGACAGATGGAGGGACAGATGGATGGAGGGAGGGGCGGATGGATGGACGAAGGGACGGATGGACAGACGGATGGACGGATCGACGGACGGACGGGCGGACAGATGGATGGACAAACGGATGCATGAACGGACGGACGGATAGACGGATGGACGGACGGATGGACGGATGGACGAATGGATGGATGGATGGACGGATGGACGGATGGAGGGATGGATGGATCCCCAAAATCACAAATTTTGACCTAACTGCCGAAAATCAAAAATTTTCGGAATTATTTTCTTTTCCTTCCGAAATTTCGTTGTTTAAAAATCCGAAATATTTCCTTTCTCTTTCGGAATATTTGCGTGGATTCGTTATGTTTTTTGGGATTCACACATCACGGAAATTCGATTTACATTTCTTCTCGCTATTTCCCGTGATTTCGAAAATTCCGATTTTTTTTTTGTTTTAGTCTATTGGCTGCAAGGAAAATGAACAGAAGCGAGATGACAATATTCAGATTGCACAATCACATTGAAAGCCAAATCGTATCACAATGTTCAGAAAGCAGCATTGCACCAATATAACACCAATGGAGAATCGTAGTACTGAAAGTCAATGTCAATGAGAGCTTGCTCTCACCACCACCAACATATGTATCCAGTCTCTATCTCACTACTTGGCGCTCGACGCCCAACCTACTCCCTACACAGCTACTACTGGCCTACTAATTGACAATGCAACTGTTGACATCAGCAGCCTCCGAAGTACTTGAAGATGTCGCCCATGCAGACCATCGCCAATACCAGGTATGAGCCCTCACATCATCATCATCATCCTTCCCTCTCTCTCTCCCTTGTCTCTCTCCCACATCTTCCTTTTGCACACATGAAGACCACCCCTGCGCCTCACTGTACATCCAAGCCCGCCAGCTATGGAGCCTGGGCTATGGTGCTGCCCTCAGCAGCGCCCTGCTCTCTGCACGACCGCACGTGTTTGCACCTCGCCGCTCAGCGCTAGCAGCAGCCCGCGAGCTTCAGCTCGAGCAGCGCTGCCGCCAGCATGCGAGTGCCCGAATGCCAGGTCAGGAAGCGAGCTCTTTCCTATATGGAAAGAGCCTGCCTCATTCGGCAGCCTGGCTGGACTGGTCTGGGCCCAGAAGCTTCCGGTAGGGCTCAGGATGCTGCGCCTCTCTTGCAGCTACTAGGCCTTGTTCGGTTGGGCCTCCCAACTGTCTGTGTATAAGGTTGTGATTCTCGTCCAGGGCCTGCATCATTTTGGAAAGGCCTGGAAGGTCTCCCTGCTCGGCCTGTGTTTTTCTCAACCAACTGGCACGACGAAACTGCCTGGACGCCTCTCTTGATTTGTTACTCCCACCTTCACTTAGGGCAGGCACAAATGCAACAGGGGCCCCCTTAGGTCTGCCGAGGGTCCGAATCCTCGCATTCCCTCCTCCTGTACTTCGATAGTCCCCTGAGAAGTCTTCTATTCTGCAGGCATTTTTCCTTTGAGATCTCTTCTGTAGCCTGCAATGACTTGAGGTGCAGTTCTCATGAGTTCTTCTCTGGTGAACCACCGATCTTCGCTAGGATCCAGATGATGTCTGAATCTGACCCGGTACTGCATTTTTGGCTTAGGAGGGCGACCTCTGCCCGGTGGTCGAGGAACAGGCATCACATGATGTTTCAGAATCTGGTCGACGTCCACTTCGCCATCCATGGTTGGGGGCAGCATTGACCGTCTGGAAGGAAATTGTGCAGATTTTCCGAAAGGTGCCAGCTTTGAGGCATGAAATACAGGGTGTGTACGTAGATGTGGGGGGATACGAATCACATAGGAAGGTCCGTGCATCTGATCTCCCACTATTTCTAAGACCTCCCAAGGACCGAAGTAGTGTGGCATTAGCTTTCTAGAAATTCCGAGTTCCTGTCGCACCTCAGATCATTTAACCCAAACTCATTCTCCTACCTGAAATTGAGACGACCGTCTGTGCTTATTCTCATATGCCACAATGGCATCTTGAGCTTTTCTAATATGCTCTTCAGCCTGTTGCAGCATCTGATCATACTTTACAGCAAACTCTATGCTGCCTAGAGCTGCAGATGGTTGACTCTCAGGTAACAGAAAATCTAAGGCGGTTCTAGGTTTCCAACCAAGATGCAGTTGGTTGGGGGTCATGCCAGTCGTGTTGTGTACAACATTGTTGTACAGGCTGGTGATGAGAGGTAGTTTCTCGTCCCAGTCATCCTGACTTGGCTTAATGTAGTGCCTCAGTAATTGCTGCACTACTCGATTCATTTGTTCCGCCTGCCCATTTGACTCAGGGTGGTTCCCTGACGTCATCTGGTGCCCATCTGTTGGGCTGTGTTTTGCCACAGTTCGCTTGTGAAACGTACATCCCGGTCACTGACGATAGACTTAGGTAAACCAAAGTCTCGAACCCAATTGTCCATGAATAGTCTAATGACATAGTCAGTTTTAGCAGTCTCCGGCATAATGATTACTCTGGCATATTTGGAAAAATGGTCTACTATAACGAAGATGTGCCTTTTTTTAGACCTGCTGGTCATAAGAGTGTCCATGAAGTCCATAGAGACACTCTGACCAGGACCTTCAGGAATCGGCAAGGGCTTGATGAGCCCAAGCGGAGCCTGAGTTCTAGGTTTGTCACATTGACAGACCTAACAGGTTTCAACATATTTCTTGGCATCTTCCATCATAGAAGGCCACCAAAACTTATGCACTAGGTTAGCTGATGTCTTTCTATAGCCAAAATGTCCAGTTGCATCATGCCATTCCCCTAAAAATAAACTACGCAAAGACTGACTATTAGGAACACAAAGTTTTTTATTCCCTGCCTTTTCAAGAAACAGCAACCCATCAACCACCACAAATTCGTCAGAAGTTAACTTTATCCTTCTCTTTAAACTTACGGATGATCTCAGACATAACTGAGTCTTGCTGATAAGATTCCACCAGCGATCGAGTTAAATCGTTAGATAGACCAAATTCAGTCACTAGCGCGCCCAGGTAATCTGCCCGTCGAGATAGTGCATCCGCCACCGTGTTATACTCTCCTTTGATAGGATCAAGTTGATAGTCATACATGTCTATCACTTGTATCCATCTCTTGAGTGCATCTGAGAGTACTGGTTGCGTCTTGATCCAACGCAGGGTCTCATGGTCAGATCTTACATAGAAAAATCCGCCTAGGAGATAGTGCCTCCAATGGACCAGCTCTCGGTAAAGGGCATAGAGCTCACGCTCGTAGGTAGACCTGGCTAGTTTCTTAGATGGCATCTTTTTACTCATGTACTCGATAGGTCTCAACTTGGGCCCCTCCTTTTGCGCAAGGACCGCGCCTATGTCATACTGGCTGGCGCCTTTGGTCACTACAAATGGCTTATCAGGATCCGGAAGTTTAAGAACCTCGTAGTGTGTTAGGACATACTTCAGTTTACTGAAGGCCGCCTCACACTCTTCAGTCCACCCCCAAGGGGTATCCAGTCAAGTTAGATCTGTTAATGGGGAAGCTATAGTACTATAGTTCTTTACAAACGGACGAGAGTAGCCCGTCATTCCCAAAAACGATCTGACCTCAGTAACAGTCTGAGGTCTGGGCCAGCCACGTATGCTGGCCACCTTAGATCCGGCCTCAATCCATCCGCTGAGATTTCATGACGCAAGTACAAGATCTTGGTGCGACCGAACTCGCATTTCTCCAAGTTAACCTTGTACTGGTGCTGTCTTAGGAGACCTAGCACTATTTTCAAGTGCTCAGCGTGCTCCTCTACAGTCCTACTAAAGATAAGAATATCGTCGAGGTACACAACTATAAACTTGTCTAAGTAATGATGAAATATCCTGTTCATCGCGTGTTGGAACGTACCAGGTGCATTGCATAGGCCAAAGCGCATCACCACAAACTCGTACAGACCGTACCTGGTTTGAAATGCTGTTTTGTGCTGGTCCTCGGGTCTAATGGCAATTTGATGGTATCCGGACTTCAAATGTATCTTGGTGAAGTACCGACATCCCTGCACTCTATCCAAGAGGTCGTCGATGCGGGGTAGGGGCTTCACGTTCTTAACGGTGATGGCATTGAGGCCACTATAGTTAATGCACATCCTTAGGGTACCTCCCTTCTTTGGGACAAATAAGGTTGGCGCACCGTAAGGGGAGGTACTAGGCCGAATCCACCCCTTTTCTGTTAGCTCCTTGAGCTGGCGGCGGAGCTCATCCAACTCCGCAGGAGACATCCTATAGATTCGTCCTCTAGGTACCTTACTACCTGGGACAACCTCTATTGCATGGACCACCTCCCTTTCTACCACGCCTGTGGGCTCCTAAAAAAGGTCTGAATATATTGCGACGACTGACTCTATCTCTGGGGTGTTTTAACGGCCTCCCCTTTCTCAGAGACAAAGACTAGATACATGCCCTCCTCGCAATTCACTTCCAGGGTTCGAAGATAGTCCCACCACCGTCGGAGAAACTACCCTCCTTAGGACTTTCTTGCCTCGGCACGTTCCGGACGTGTGGCCATAGTTGCCACAGTTCATGCACGTGCCCCTAGCGACTCGGTCCCTCCACACCTCATACTCTAAACCAAGTTTCACCCATGCGGGCGTACCTTGGTCGCCCTGACCCGTAGACCGGCTTACCTTTCTCTTCCCAGTCCCCCTAACCTTTTCTTTGATGGGTGCCACGACGCCCCCATCCGGAGTCTCGCTGGCCCCATCATGCTCTGTGTCCTCCCCAAGGTCTGGGAAGTCGTCAATTTCTGTCGCCTGACCATCATGGTCGACGAACATTAATTGCCCTTTCT